TGTTGAGGGGTGAAAATTTTTGGAAGGCTAAAATCCCAACAGATTGTGCTTGGACATGGAGGCAAGTTTTAAAACTTTGTCCTCTACTAAAAAATATCATTTGGATGCAAGTGGGAGATGGAAGACAAGTTTCACTATTCTATGATTGGTGGACAGGTGAGTTAAGGTTCTGCGAGTTGATCCCAAAGGATGAGATTGTTGTTTGGGGCCATGACCTTACAGTTAGTGAGTGGTGGGATGGTTTAGATTGGACCATTCTAGATAGTTTTGTGAGAAGACATCCCATGCTTGTCCAGATTATTAGATGTCAAAAACTATCTCAACAAGTGGACAAGGCTGTATGGAAACCTACAAAGAATGGTTTGTTTACTATTTCAAGTTGCTATGAGTTCCTAAGAGTGAAACGCCCAAAGGTAGAATGGCATCATATTGTTTGGGCAGGGTGCATTTTCCCGCGACATAGATTCATCTTTTGGTTGGTATTACGGATTAGACTAAAAACTAGAGATTTACTAACAAGTAGAGGTATGAGAATTGAGAAAGGGTACTGCTTGTGTGGTAGATATGATGAAACTTGTGAACATCTGTTTTTTTATGGTAGTTTTGCTAAAGAAGTGTGGAGGTTAGTCTTGGACTTCTTGAATATTCACAAACAACCAAAAAGGTGGAGTGTTGAATGGCTATGGTTAAAGAAGGCATGTAAAGGCCGATCGACACAGTCAAACAAGTTGAAGGCTGCGGTAGCTACCACTATATATATGATTTGGCAAGAAAGAAATAGGAGAGTAACTCTTAGTAAATTTTTAGTTGAAAAGGATGTATATAATGATATAGTTAATTTTTTGAGATTAAAGATTTGAATGGTGTAATTCCCCAGGTATACTTGGGAGGAATTTGTACATGTCATCTAACGTCTAATGGAAAACTTGTCTTTTTCCAAAAAAAAAAAAAGTTTATAAAAAATATAAATTTAAAACTTTTTGAAATTTACTGTTTAAAATTTTTTTAAAGTTAAAAAAAAAAGTTAAAAAATATAAGTTTTAAAAAAAAATTTAATTTATGAAACATGAATATTATTTAAAAACTAAAACTCTTATAAACTAACTCACCCATACTCTAAATCAGCTTGGGACTGTACGGTATTTTTGTTACTTTAAGGCTTGGGTTGGTTTAAAAGAAATAAAACAAAAGGAAGAAAAATAATAAAAGGATAACGCTATTCTTTTATTTCCCTTTCCTTCTTTTTCATCATTTGGTTATGTTAAAATGCACATAAGAAATGAAAATAAAAATTTTTAAAAATGTTCCTACCATTTTCTCCATTTTAATTTTTTTATTTAAATTTCAAATAAAAGAAGTTTCTTCCCTTTTTCTCAGCAAACTATGGTCATATTTAAATTTGTTGTGATCGTGTATATTATTAAAATTTTAATTTAATTTAATTATTAAAAATAATTAATATTTATTACTTAATAAATTAAATTAATTTACAAATATTATAATTAATTATTTAAAATAAAAAGTTATCTAATAAAACAATTCATCAAAGTATATCACATTAATAAAATTCTGTGTGACTATAATACAGGGGGCCTTTCCTCCCTTCTCATTCCTTTATCTCGAATAGATGCTAAATAAAATCCGTTATATTTTTTAATTACAAATATGTATCATCTATGTTAGACACGCAAGGGCCTTACTTTGAGATAGAAAGCCTTGAAAAAAACATTCCTCAACTAACATAAAATAGTTATATTCGAAGACAATCAAGTCAATTAAAAATGGTGCTTTCTTCCAATACAGCTGTGCTGGCACTGAGCAGTAGGGAGCGTTTCTCAGCGTCAATGAGAGTACTATAATATCAAACATATCTAATCTAATCATAAGATTTTCAAGTCTTTTGGATTTTGCTTTCTCTTTGTATTATCACTTTTTCGTTTTTTTCTCTCATATAAGAAAAGTTTTATCTTTTTGTCACTATTTTTTTTTTTGTCACTTTGTCTCTCTATTTTATTATCTCTTTCTTTCTTTCTCTCACTTAAATATGTTATTTTGTTTTCTTCTTTTACCCTTAAAAAGAATGTAAAAAGATTCTAAATGTAATTTTGTAATTTTTCGCTGATTTAGGGATAATTTAAATTTTAAGCATGCTCTAAAATCTCATAAAATGACATTTGTTTGTAAGAAAATTATAATTTTTTTTAGTTTAAAAGGTAGGTTAGCATGAATTTGTGAGAGAGTTGTAATTTTTCTTTTACCTTGGAGAGCATTTTGGTCGGTAGATTTAAGCTCTATTTAATATAATTATGGTTATAGTTTTAAGTTTTTAGTTTTGGTTTTCAACATTCAAATAATTAAAATTAATAATTGAAAACCAAAATTTAAATTTAAAATTGACAACTTATTAGATATAAAATTTTAAAACTAATTAATACCTAAAACTTCAAAGTTAATTAATATATCAAATTTTCTAATTTTGTTTTAGGGCTTTTAGATTTTTGAGAACCTAAACCAAAAACTCAAAACCATAACAATGCTAAACAAAACCTTGATAATTATAATTATCATTTTATATAGGGGTAAAATTGTCAAAATGACTTTCTTTTCCTTTCTGGATCTCTCTTCTTTTATCATATATGCCTATCCTCTAGATGGCGTACCTTTGACAAGATACGGGATGAATTAGTCTCAAAGTACATGCCAATTAGTTTAAGAACACCATGATTGCTTAAAATAAAAAAAGAAAAAATTAACCTATACTCTTTCTCCACCAATTCTCTCCTACAAAACCTCCATTCACCTTCTACATTCCATCTTCTCCAATTTACTTCATTTCTAATGGCTCCCAAACGCCCTCACCATCACCAAAACTTCACCTTTTCCCCTTTCTTCCCCTATTTTTCTTCATCTAAATTACTACTAAGCTTGCATCCATCATAAAGTCAAGAGGATGCACAAGAGGTAGTTTAACACCCAAATATATCCCAAATTTTTAGTTATATATATTTTTTTCTTTAAAGTCAAATACACTCCAACAACTGGTAGAGTTGATAAATGCTAGTAATAATAAAAAGGATGACTCCTTACTTATTCTTCTCTCTTTACTTTCACTTTTTCTTTTAAGTTGAATACACTTCAACAATTTAGAAAGTGGATTGGGAAATGCTAGTAATAATAAGAAGGATGAGTCCTTACTTATTCTTTTCTCTCTCTACTTTCACTTTTTTCATCATTTCTCTCACTTAAGGAAAAGTTTTGATTAGCATTACTTTGCGAGGGAGTTGTAATTTTTTTTTATTTTTTATTTTGGAGAGCATTTTAAGTGGTAGATTTAAGCTCTGTGTGGTATCATTATGGTTGTGGTTTTAGGTTTTAGTTTTGGTTTTAAACATTCAAACAATCAAAATTAATAATTGAAAATCAAAATTAAAAATTAAAATTAACAACTTATTAGATATAAACTTTTAAAACTAATATCTAAAACTTTAAACACAATTATTACATAGAATTTTCTCATTTTATTGTATGATTTCTAAATTTTTGAAAACCAAAATTAAAATCTCAAAATCGCAACAATATTAAACAAAGTCTTAATAATTACAATTGTTTTTTTATGTAGGGGTAAAATTGTCAAAATGACCTCCCTTTCCTTTGTGTATCTCTCTTCTTTTATTATATCAGCTTATCCTCTAAATGACTTGCCTTTTACTGGAGTAAAAATGAATTATTCTTGAGGCACACATGAATTAATTTAAGAA